ATGCCTTAACAAACATATCATTTAAAACAAAGGCACACTGCTCTCTCGGAATGTCGACGCCACCAACCCCAGTAAGCGTAATATCAGTCCTCTTTGGTCCGTTTACAACACTCCAAAATTGTTTAATACTATTGGATTGAATGGTGATGGCTAAGGAACAAATTAAGGGCAGCGCTGATTGGTTATTTCAGTTCATAAAGTACAAAAAATTAAGTTATTAACTTTTTCAGTGATTAAAATTGGTTTCTTCTAATTGCAACTGTTCATAAAACAAAATAACCCTTTGCATACAATAAATCTCCAAACCTAGACATGCTTGTATTAAGGTCTGGCCACACTGCCCAAAAAGTCGAACCCAGCGTTACTAAAACACTCAGTTGGGAAGCTCGCCGTCGAAACCTGGGCCGCTGGCGTCCACCGAGACCGAGCTAAATGCGACAACAGCGCCACTCTTTATCGTTTGTCTGTACTGTGGTCCCCTTGAGCTTTTTGAATGCCTGTTTTTGCGTAAAAACAAACGGAAAAGACTCTTTTTGTATGGAATTTATCGGAGTTTAGTACCAAATGATGGGCGCGTGATGTTTTTATCATCTTTAGTTCGCAAGGTTTTGCGGAACAATTAATATTGTTTTCATACAACCATGCCTCAGCGGGCCTTTCAGGTAGCACGTCCTGACCTAGGTGCATTTTAACGTCAGTAGTTGACCGCGGCGCGTCCGCCGGGGAGACGGGGGTGGCACCCCTGTAACCTCTTCCGCTGTATCTGTTCTTAAGCCAAAATAGATGTCACGTGCAGTTCTTCGAGAGGCCGCTGCGGGAGAAATGGTGGCGTTGTGTTCGTCATTAGCTCGGTGCTCGGAGACAGATTGGGGCCACTTTTTCAAAGCTGTCTCTATGGGAGTTTCCCAACTGAGTGTTTTAGTAACGTTGGTCGAACCGGTTGAATCTGGGGAAAAGGTCGAAAATTCGTCGAACCGGTTCAACCCAGTCGAACCCCGAAAGTTCGACCTGAAAATCCGGTTGGACAAAAGTTCGCGACACCCCTAAGCCTGATTCCACTTAGAGCACTATATAGCTAGTGCTCTAATTCCACTATATAGCTCCTACGGAGCAGAGTAGCGCAATCCTTTGAACCCCGTGTTTCGCCGACAACATGGCCGACAGAGCAGCGCGGCGCGAGTCACGTGGTATTCAGGGTTCCAGGAGGCGGCCCGCGGCTGACGTCGCATCGCACATTTTTGGACACCAAGTAAAAGGAGGAGAGGGAAGCTGCTTTTGTAAGAATTTTGAGTGACAGGTTAATCTCCTATAATCTTCAAAGGAGGATCCTGATAAGAGGGGAGCTCCTTCTTCCCCTTTTCTCTGGAGGGCATCGGAAATGACGTCATGTGCAAGGAGCCTATGGGAGAATACATGGAGATCGACTCAACGCGGCTGATTAAAAAATAAACGCCAAGTTCACACTTTTCCAAACTAGTCTGTCGTGAAGTTGGTAAAGCACTAAACACTTTATCAAAGTTTTAATAATATTGGATGCGTGTGAAAATTTTACGAAGGCAATTTTCAAGGCAATGGCGTTTGAAGCAGACGATTGTTTTGCGCAGCGGAGATGGACTTTATGGGGATTGGCCGGAGCGGGTCACGTGAACGGTGTGACGTCGCCGCGTCGTCTGCTGCAGGATGCTGCTCGGGCACTTTTTGAAAAACAATTACGTTATTTCATGGCGCACAACTTAGCGCAAATTATTTTAAACTATTCCTTTATTATGTCAAAAACTATTCTCGTTCCGTACATCCCGAAAATAATCAGGAAGCAGCGATTTTCTCACGTTCCCCATGCATTTGTTGCCGAAGTTGGAACCCCCGGGCGTTCGCCGCTACACCCGGCGACAACTTTTCTTGGCAATGCAGTGGAAGGTACGCCCCGCGTCCCCTCTCCCATTCTGAGTGTACGTGGGCTCTCCTCCTCTCCTCGGAAATGGGGGAAGAGGAAAGCTTGCGAACACTCAAAATGGGAGAGGGGACGCGGGACGTACTATCGGGTTGAAATGAAAGGCGATCACCGGAGCGCGTGCAGCTCCGTACATCCTGCGCCGCCTGTCAGCGATCGGGGGAACCCTCGGCGCATGCGCTGTTCAAGATGAGGGTGCGAGGCTGCGTGTCCAACTGTTAATTTATGGTGCCTCGATCGCGTCTTTGACTGGTGTGTTTAGCGCCCTATCCCGCCCATACATCAAAAGTGGCAACAAATGACGCGGGTGTCATGCTGTTGCCTGTCGCGATCCTGGCGGTTGGCCGTAGAAATGCTGGCGAAAAGCACGAGCGAACGCGAGTGTCGCTGTCGTCACGGCGTCGCTTTAGGCGTCCCAACTTCCGGCTGCCCTAGCTTCCGTGAACTGTCACAATGGAAAGCGACCAGCAGCAAAACAGGCGTCTACTATTTTTACCACAACTGTTGGGACGCCGCCAGGGTCGCAATCGGCGATAACATGACACTTTTATGACGTCATCAGGCGGAAATCGAGGGACCACTTTTTTGGCCGCGGTAAACACACCAGTCGGAGATGCGTTCCAGGCACCATAGGCCTCCTGCGCTGAAGCTTTGAACAAACTGTAGCGCCCTCATTTTGGGTAGTACAAGCTCACCTGATTGAGCATAGCCCTACTTATGGCACGTTGGTCGAGCTTTTTCAATTCTATGTGGTGCTAAAGAGCGAAAAAACACCGTTGGACGCCAGAAATCGGCTAAACTCAACGTTTCAAGAGAATCGAAAAGGCCAAATTCATGACACCACCGCTAGCGCACGCGTCTCTTATCTCTGGGTGGTGACGTCACAACACCTGTGTCGCGACGCTTTAATTTTTTTTCTTTCGTTTTGATGTCTACTTTGAAACGCATGAAACGGCATCTCTTGGCTCACGCTCTCAGCATCTTAGCTTTGACGGCGTTCGAATTTTTGTTCTGTCTGTATTTTTATCGTGATCTCGCGCTCCGCACCAGAGCAGGCTGGCTTCTGCATGCGTGACAGTTTGAGACGCTAAATATTGTACTACCCAAAACAAGTCCTAACAAGTCCCATTCGCAGCACCCTCTGGGCAGCGCAGGAGGCCCATAGTTAGGTGCTCAGCTTCCGGCTGGCGCACCTGTGCTTCTCCGCGGCGCCGCTGAGGGTGCTCTAAAAGCCGTCGCCGCTGGGGTTCACGCTCCTGGCTGTCATCGCCGCGCGCTCGCCGAGCACGGCGGCTCCGGCGGGGCGTCCGAATGTCGGCTCCTCGCTGCCGCTCGCTCGGGGAGCGCGCGGCGAATACACTTTTTTAGGCTAGGTGGCGCAAGCTACCGCCCATAACAAAGGGCATAATTGTCTCATTTGTATGTGCGTCATCCACCCTACATCCCAGGCCGTGTTCCAAAATTTATTCGATCTTACTCCAAAAGGTTTTGTACCTTGGGGTTCCAAAACCTACCCGAGTTCAGCGCCTTTCAATCTGTGTTGTCACGTGACACGACCCGCCAAAGTAACTCGGATCCCTTTGGGTTAGATTTGGAACACAGCCCCAGAGTCACCAGAGCACAGTCCCAGGTCCCAGGCCGTGTTCCAAAATTTACTCGACCTTAGTCCAGGGCACAGAGGTCCACGGTAAGGGTTTTCTACCTTGGCTGTGTTCCAAAATTTACTCGATCCGACTCCGGAGTAAAAGTTTCGTACCGTGGCGTTCCAAAACTTACTCGAGCTTACTCGATGACGTCAGAACTCGCGTTTCAGAAGCGGGTTGTTTACTCCGGAGTAATTACTCGCGCTACCCTCCTCGATCGGGGGGTAAAGCCGGATCAAATCGAGTAAATACGTCACGTGATCTGTTCGTCGTCTGCTTTCTGCGCCGACAGCCGTCAAAGCTCGCTTGCTCCGTTGGTTTTGGTGGCGGACGTTCGAAATGACAAAGAATTAGGTGCAGCATGTGTGGTTATTGCGATTTGGTGTTGTCAACGCAGGAATTGACTGCATTACATCCAGACCGTCCACCTTCCCGGGAACGTGTACTTGTTATTATCTGAGTGCGAGCGTAAACAGGAGCTTCTCCGCATCCTCGTCCTCGGCGTTGGGGGAATGCTGTATTCTCACGTTCAAGGCCGAAAATGTTTGAACTCGGTATATGATAATGTAGTATTTTTGTTTCCTCCAGAGTGTGTGTAATGAGAGGATAACGTTTGTAAAGCAGTGAAGGCTTCGAAAATTTCACTGTAATCACATTCGCGTCAAAGCGAACGTGAGTTTCATATCATTCTGGAGAAAGCACCCTCGCGCTGTACCGCTACACCGTGTGGAATATATTTCCGCAAAACATAATCGGTGCAAATTACAATGCGTGGAATATATGCGTTTAGGGCACCGTGACTAGAATTCCAGTGATCGCGCTGATTAATAAAAACACATTTTTTTATGTCTAGCTGTAAGGAGTAAGTAATTTTGATCTCAATATGCATCTCAAAACGAAGGTAAGTAAAAGGAGCTGGTGGATTCACCTCAAAATACACCGCGTCGTCATTAACATTACCGTTCTTCGGGTGCTTTCTCCATGATCAAAAGGATCGTCTGCTATTTTCTGCCATCGCTGCTGTGTTTTCGTTTTGCCGTCGCCCAAGACGAAGCCAATCCGCGTAGTATCCAGGTGATTATCCTGGCCGTTCCAAAATCGAGTCGCGGATCGTTTACTCGCGATGTCACGTGGTATTACCCGCTGACGTAGGAGGCAGGTTACTCGGGTAAGATTTGGAACATAGCCCTAATCGTTCCTAAACCCGCGTCCAGCACTTTTCAATCTATGTTGTCACGCGACACGACCCGCCGGAGTAACTCGGATCCATTTCAGTGAGATTTGGAACACAGCACCAGACCAGAGTCATATACGGCTCTGACCAGAGTCGCCAGAGTCTGATCAGAGTGATGCATCCATCCAACAGAGCCGTCTCTGCCATCCAACGATCCATCCATCCATCTATGTTCCATTTTACCAGACTTGTATCCGCGCCTCGGATCGTGGGCGGTCTGATTATTTGTAAGTTTCTCGTGTGTGTCCCTTTTGCATGATCTTGATTTTCATAGAATGCTTAACTGCCTCCGCTCCTTATTGTCGACGCTGTGTGATCCTGCGTAAAACGCGTGGATCGCTTGAACGAGCCCTTGTTTACCCTCTGACAGTGGTTTTTCAGTTGTCGTTGCTGAGACTGCTTAAACGCATGCCGCTCGCTTGGTACGATCGTGAGCAGCGTCTTTACCAACTTTGTAAGCCTCGAGTCGTAGTTTTCAAGAATTGAGGCACTGCGGTTGCGTCTGATGCAGCTGGTGAAAGCACGAGATTATCAAACTGCAGGCCTCCGGGTGGGGCCCTGCAAGGACTTTTTTTTTACCGGTTTTTAATTTGCACCGAACCTGAGCGCACTGAACGTAGTGACTTAATGCAACTTTTCTCGAATTCCGCTTTATTTTAAAAGTTATAGGCATATTAAAATTACAAAAACAAGCAAAAGATAACATCCTTCATGACTTCCTTGGTCGCTTGAGTGGCCGTGAACTAGTAGAGGTGGGATAGTGAACTCAGCGAGCGCTCACGGCTGCTGCACTCCGTGTCGACGGCTCGAGAGAGCGCCACTAAAGCATGCTCTGGATAGGCTGTAGAAGGCGGACAGCCAGGGCGGCTCGCATTGCATTTGCTGTGCGATTAAACACTACTTCCGCATACACTTCATTGGCCACAAAGAACAGCAAACACAGGGTAAAGATCAGTTCGGAAAGGGAGCCACTTCGCGCTGTCATACCACCAAAAAACCGAACCGCAAGCCAAACCTTGCTCTGAAGGCCTCCGTAACATTCAGAACCGGTCGGATCCTCGAGCCCATATACGACCGCAGCGCCGCCGCATACGTCCGGGACCTTACTACGCTCGCCGCTCATCGGTGCCTGATCCCATTAGCCCTTTCTAGTATACGCCGCCTTTTCCACTGCTTGGTATGTCGACGGGTCATTTCTTGTTTCCGTACTTTATAAACTGCATTTGTTTCTTTTCAAAGTAAAAATAGTGAACAAAAACTACTTTCATACATAACTGAAATGGTTCACACCACTTATATTTTGTATTTTGACTAAAACAAAGCTTTTAGCGGCTCTTACCAGTAGTAAGCCCAGGACCAAAGACTTCACATATCGCGCGCTTTCAGCACCGCGGGTTGCCCCCGTAGATGGAGGAGGTTTCCGCGTCGTCCGGTTAAAATATGATGCACTGATATTTAGTTACTCTTTCCGTGCCCGCTGGCTTGCCCGAACCCCAAGAGATGTGGAAACTGCAAAAATGGTCGACGCTTAAATATAATTGCAGGGCCCCTTTAAGCGAATTTTGTGTACATTAGCGGGAAATAAATGGCACATGTTCTAATTCTTCCAATATTGACTCCCCCCCCAAGAAAACAAAAAACATTCTGGGAATTTCGAATGTTGTGAGCGAGACTTGAAATGAGGGGGAGGTTCGAACTATGCGATTTCGAACTATGGCAAGCTTCAAAAGTCCAATCTTTTTGATTCTGAACGACAAGTGATTCGCGACGTCTCCTGTGTATGCCATGTAGTAAAAAGAAAAATAACTTGATGTTTTAGTATTGTAGGTCTGTAGGTCAAAAGACATGGGGTAGCACTTGCTGAGATTTGCAGAGCCTTAGCAAACAAGAAACAGTATGTTTTAGGAAAGCCATTTCATTTGATACACTGGTTTGTTATAGCCACATTTAAATGATGTGTGTTCATGGCAGCAGCAGATTGAACTGAAACGTGTACACCTTTTTATTTTTTAAATTAAATTTAAATGATTGAAAAGTGTGAGGTATGTTTTCTTTGACTAGAAAAAACCGAAGCTATGCAGATGAATGAGCCTAACTGATTGAATGGAATAATTCTTAAAGGGGCCCTGCAATCATATTTAAGCATCTACCTTTTTTGCAGTTTCCACGTCTCTTGAGATTCGGGCAAGCCAGCGAGCAGAAAGAGGGTAACTAAATATCAGCGCGTCATATCTTAACCAGACGACGCGGAAACCTCCTCCACCGGTGAGGGCGACCCGCAGTACTGAAAGCGCTCAAAATGTGACGTCTTTGGTCCTGGGCTTACTGCTGGTCATAGCCGCTAAAAGCTTCTTTTTAGTCAAAATACAAAGTATAAGTGGCGCGAACCGTTTAAATTATCTATAAAAGTAGTTTCTGTTCAGTATTTTAGATCAGAAAAGAAACGAATGCAGTTTATAAAGTACGGAAACAAGAAATGACCCGTCGACATACCCGCCACCAAGCGGTGGAAAAGGCGGTGCATACTAGAAAGGAGTAGTGGGATCAGGCGCCGACACAGAAAGGTCCCGGATGTACACGGCGGCGCTGCGGTCGTATGGACAGGAGGATCCGACCGGTTCCGAGTAGTGATGGACCGAATCTGCCGAACTTCAGATTTGGCAAAGTTCGGCAAAGGCCGAACTTTTCAAGGAAAGTTTGGCAAAGATTCGGCAAAATTTCGGCAAATGTCTGCGCACGCGCGAGAACGTGACGGGGCCATGGATTGCAAATGGATGCCGTGCAGTGGTGCGGTTACCATCGTGGATTGTAGTACAACCAGCGGTTACAGCACGGTGTAAAGTAGGCAACACGGTAACTGCGCGTTTGTGAGCCGAGTGTGGTCCTCTTCAATATTTTCTGCCTCAAGAATAGAAGATCGACCAGTAATTTACGCAATCCACTTCGCAAGTGACAAATGATGCGGTACATTCTGGATAACGTGATATTTATTTCACCTTCCCAGTGATGCAGTGAGGTAGTTGAAACATTGGCCAACAATTACTTTAAAGCACTCCTCGCAGTTATAACAATCCTGTTTTCGGCTCACAAGTAGTGTGTGATACAACAAAATAACAATTCCTTTTCAGTTAGAGTTATTTCGCGATTTTCATGTATCTGTATCAAACTAAACACACAACTATAATGCTGGACGTTGCACATCCGACATTTCCCATCTTCCTAAACGTCTGTGTGTGTCCTAACATCCGAAACCGGCATTTTAAAGGTTAAAAACGAGACGTTGCGAATATGGGACGCACACTTCCATGCAATGCTGACGTTCAATGACTTAAATCGAAAAACAGGCATATTTACTATAATAATATTTTGTCTCTTCTAGTAAAGACTGAGCAACCGTTGCAATCTTTTCGCGCACGAAACGGTGACTCCCAAAGAAAGCAAGAACGTTGTGGTATTGCCTATATTTTAACAACGTAAACACACTTGCAGGCTTGCGCTGATGATGCATCAAAACCGAAACTCTCTTGGTGTGTTTCGTGACTGCGCCACGCTCGCTACTTCCCAACCTCGTTGTCGCGCCACTTCTGCAAGAAGTCGCTGTAAAATTGCCAGTAAACGCACAAAAACGACACCGATACAATTATTTTGCAGAATACCACCTTATTTAGTAATAACTGTGTCGATATGCATTACATGTTACATTTAAGTTTTAAAAAATGCATAAAACCTTGTTTTCGCCAAACAAAAAATAAATATCAACGTTAAGTCTGGTAGCAATGTATTTTTGCCGAATCTTTGCCGAATTTTTAGAAAAGTGCGGCAAGAGTTTGGCCTTGCCGAATCCTAAGATTCAGCGCCGAATTTTCGATTCGGCAAAAGTTTGGCTCATCACTAGTTCCGAGCGTTCCGAAGGCCCTTGGCGAGCTTTGTCTTGCGGTGTGGCGGTTTCATGGTATGGCAGCGCGAAGTGGCTCCCATTCTGAACTGATCTTTACCCCATGTTTGCTGTCGTTTGTGGCCAATGAAGTGTCATGCTGAATCAGTGTTTAATCGCGCAGCAAACGCAATGAGAGCCGCTCTGACTGCCTGCTGTATACAGCCTATTCAGAACATGCTTTAGTGGCGCACTCTCACGCTGTCGACAGGGAGTGCGGCAGCCGTGAGCGCTCGATGAGCTCACTCTACCCCTCATCTAGTTCACGGCCACTCAAGCAACCAAGGACGTCATGAGGGAGATTATTTTTTGCTTGTTTTTGTAATTTTAATTTGCCTATAACTTTTAAAATGAAGCGAATTTCAAGAAAAGTTTCACTAAGTTACTACGTTCAGTGCGCTCAGGTTCGGTACAAATTAAAAACCAGTAAAAAAGTCCTTGCAGGGCCACTTTAAAGGGGTGTCCAAACAGGACACTACAAAACGCACGACTCCGACAAATCGTGAAAATCGAAGCGGACGCTTTTATTTTTACGATTTGTCGGAGTCGTAAAAATTTTTGCAGGAGTCGTGAAAATTTTCACGATCACGACTGCTCTCCTCACCTCCTCCACTTTTCTTTGACGTCACACGTCACCTGTATCTGGCTCACCTTGCCAACGACCTCGCGTACCGTTGTCGCCTCGGCTCGAAGGCAAAGGGGGTCCGGCTTCGGGTGGATTTGGGACATTCCTGCGTCCAAAAGTGTGTTTCGCCCGCCTCGGATCTGCTTTCTTTGTCGAGATTCACTTTCGTCGTGATGGCCTCCGACGCGGTTCCGTATTGTGAGCGGAGGCCTTGAGCGATTGACCGACAGCCAACAGAGCGTGTGAGTGGCTCTCCGGACCCACGTGATGAGCAGAGCAAGGCTGCCGTGGAGGAAGCGAGGGGGAGATTTGACGGAGGGAAGTTTTCCGCCGGGAAGAATTGACGGAGGGAAATTTCCCTCCGACGGCCGGAAGCGGATCGCGGCAGAGCGCGGCATGATTTGCCGAAGTCGTGAGTTTTGTAGTATCCTGTTTGGACAGGCCTTTAGAAGGCGTCGAAAGGCAAAACATTTGCCGGTGCCGGGATTCAAACTCCGGGTCTCCTGATTGCTGGTTAGGTATGCAACCACCGCACCACACTGCCTTGTCTTTAGTGCATCACTAACGTGACAAGTGATGTCAATAGGCGTCACTAACATGATGTCTTGTGACAAGCATCACGCACGTCACAAGACACCAGACCTCACATATTCCTTTTGCTTCTAAGCTGACAGTATGGTTGAAGCTATGCAATTGCCAGACCAATCAGCCACCTCCCTTTGATCACCTGACCTCCTTCTCTTCGCGTGGGTATGCACGAGAGAGCGTGATCATGCGGCAAAAGTGTGCCTGGCCCAACGAGCACGTAGCTTCCACAGCACTGTCAGCTTAGGGGTAAACGGTGTGGGGGAAGCAGTTTTTGCCCAAGCTTTGAGCGACGAGCTAATCTTCTAGAGGAAGAATGGACCACACAAACACGACGCACATGACTGATCTCACACGTGAAATGCTCGTCACCCCACGGGTACTTCGAACGGCTCGGCTGTAACGCATTTGATGCCACCACAACGCTACCAACGGAAGAGCTCATAACCACGCCAGCCTTGCTACATCACGAATGCGGGGATTCTTTTTTGTTTGCACCGGATATCCCGTAACGCATCGCGCTCTCCGTTTGCTTCTTTTCAAGTGCTTGCTCGAGTTCACCGTTTGGAACGAAAAATATAGCCAGTCGTTGAAAATACAAACGTGCGATTATCATTTATGGTTATTATCCTTCATGCTTGACTCATTTCCGATCGAAATTTGTATATTTACATTTTAGTGTCCGTACCCCTTTAATGAGAAGAGGAAAGCGACATTCTTGTGCAGAAAAACAAGAACTTCCGGTGTACCACGAGTTCCCGATCCCCGCGAGAGTGTGCTGTTGCTATTGCGATGGCGTCTTCAGCAACACAAACAACCAATCGGAGAGTTCAGCATGGTTCGCAACAGTTTGGAGCACGTGGATTTTTAATAATAACAAACACATAAGTTAGGATGAGGGAGTCCAAAGTATGAAAAATATAGGATCCTCGATCGGTACCGCCTGTGTAGTCACAACTGATTTAGAGCTGATTCAATATAAATGAATTGGTTTCTGGGATCAAAAGGAAATTTCATCAAAAAGCCATACGGGAACTGAACTAAGAAAAAACTGCGCCTTGTCAAAGGAACAACCCAGGAGGAACCGACAGGGAGAAAGGACCCCGCAGAGCCCGACTCCAGCCCAACCTGGCGAAAGGGCACATAAGGGCGACACCAGTGGGTTGACGATGGTCGAGGGCAGCAAGTGAGCTGAACAACCATTGCCATAGTGCTATTTCATTTTCCCCTTCTCCCAAGGAGGAACACCGGTAATGAAGGGTCCCTCCCCTCAGTAGAGGGGCAAATGACAAACACAGGCGGCCTTTCCGCCACCGCTTGTCTGGGGTTCGTGTCCAAGATGTGACATGTCGACGCTAACGCAATTTCAACAGGCCCGAATGCCGAGGCCAGGATAACCGCCTTCATCGACTGTTACGAACTCGATCGCTACGAAGTTAACACAACTATCAACGTTGCTAAAAGAAGGCGACCGTGCCACCCGTGCCGGGAGGCACTCACTTGATCGAATGGCGTTTTTGCGAACGCCGACGTTTCACCAAATGACACTTTAGCGAATAGTCAGCCGCCGTGAAGCGGTCTTTACAGATGAGCCAATTGGGATAACATTTTTGTGGTAAGGTAAGCACAGCACGGGGGGGGGGGGGGGGGGGGTAACACGCCCCCTTGTTATTCGCTACAACGTTACTGTTCGCAAAAGCATCATTCGCTCATGTGATATAGACCCAGAGCCACCGTTAAAGAAGATACGCTTGAACTACGAGTTTGTCGGCAAGAGCCACGTAAATACCCGTTCACATGTATTCGGAGCGGTCACGCACGCTTGATCGAAGTGTTGGATTTGTGCTGTTGGGTCATGTCTTGGTAAGCACTTCAGGACTGATCTTTTACGATTGCAACTCTATACTGACATGACACTCGGCAAAGAAAGGTTAGGCCGGCATCGCGTAGCTCCCACAAACATTTGTAGCTCGGCAATGCCGTACCGTTGTGTCAGAATAAAAATGGCATACTAATAACGGAGTGTACATACCGTGTTGCGAAGCTAATCCATACAATGCTAATTTGTGCTCTATACCACACAAAACAAGGAGATAGACTCGATGATCAGGCCCACTCCAGACAGGGCAATTTCTCCCGGCAACTTGACATTGCTACACGGGCTGCCCGCTTTCACACGCGGCAACCGATTGCTGCAATTTGCTATCATTATTAAAATTTATTTTTCTTTTACTATCTACACACACAGTATCATAACATTGAGAATACTAACTCTACTTTCTGAAACGGTCTATTTCCAAAAAACGATCAATTTCAAACCAGAACCAAGCCTTTAGTTGTCATCATAACCAGCACGGGCTATCACGTGAAAATATGGCATCCCTGATTGGCTGCTGCTGCTTCAAACGTTTTCAAATTACTCCGAGTTGCTCACTTGTTTCGAGCCAGACCTGATCTTAGCAATATGTTTCCATCTAGGGAATGCTAGGGAACAACCCGCTAGCAACACCAAAATTGCTGAGAAAATTGCCCCGTCTGCAGCGGGCCTAAAGGGAAGAGATTGGTCAGTGATTAAGCTATTAACACAGGAAGGGTCCACAAAGGTCGTGCTGACATATTCCATTCAGCAAGCCAGCCCGTCGTGGGCAGACGATCTTCGCCAAGAACCATCGGAGCAACGCTGTGTTAGAGCAGGTCGGAGTCCCTGCTAGGCCTATGTTCTGCCGAGCTCGCTTGGTCGGTAGGATCGTTGCCGTTGTAGCTTTTCCTGGGTGTTTGTGGATCCAGCATTCATGCTCGTCGTGGTCAGTTTCAAGTACTTCTTTCTTTTTTCTTGTTGCTTGAAGCCGGGATGCGCAAGAAGAACGTGTAGAAAACTCAACATCCATTGGTCGTCTCAACCAAGTAATTGAACGACGCTGTCGGCCATGTTGATCTGATCTTAAAAAGTGCATAAGACAGCTCTGGAGCTGTCGTAGGATTCCATTGTGACCTGCACAAAAGTTACAATAATTTTGTTTCATGGATATGAATTTGTTCTTTTGTTTTGTCGTGCACACATTTTTGGCGTAAAATTTAGTAAATTTGGCCTGTTTATGATGCACTATCATGCTGTACCAACTGTTTATGTAACATAATTTGTTACCTTGGTATGTCAGCATGCAAAAACTGTTTTAGTTCTTACCTTCTTTTTGTTGCCAGCCACCTCCATAAATTAACTATCTAAGAAGTACTAGTAGTAAAGGTGTAAAAGGTGAAGGAGGGGAGGAAGAGGAAGTAAAGGTACTTGTGACCTTTTTGTTAAGTGGTACTATGATCAAACTCACAATTTTGAGCATAGTCATTGATTTTAGATCAGCAGGAGTGTAGCTACGGGTTGAAATTTTCATAGCTACACTCGCCGTCTATTTCTTTTGACTTTACTATCTTGGTATCACAATGTGTTGGTTTTTGTGCAGATGTACAGCTGTGGTGTTTTCTAAATGCAGGGGACTAAAGACCAAGATGGCGGATGCCCCATTATAGCCTAGACCAAAGATAGAAACCGCCTCGTCTACCAAACCAGTCATGTCGCAGCGTTCGAAACAACCCCCGCAACACCAAACGGTGACGTCATCAACTCCTTTGATGACGTCGGACCGTCCTCGACGGATCCTGAAACTGCGCCGGCCGTGGTCACCAACAGTCAGTCAGCCTACAAGCACGAAAGTCATCAAAGAGGAGGCAACCTCAGAAAAGGAAACCACAGACAATAGTGCTGATGATGACGATGTTGGTGACGGTGAGGACGATGTTTCTGATGTAGATTACAGTGACAACAGCAACGATTCCACTTTGTCTATACCAGAGTGTGCTCTTCATAAGCGCAGGTCATTCTCAACCAAGGAGAAGCTACCCATCGTGGCCGAAGTCGAGAACGGCTGCAGAAATGCCAACATTTGTCGGAAGCACGGCATCTCGGCTTCAACCTTGTCTACGTTCGTGAAACAGAAAGACACCTATGCAACCGTTTCCCGAGAGAGCCTTTCCAAGGCTGAGAAGTTACGCAGAGTGAAGCGACCATGCCGGAACCCGAAACCGGACAAACCGACATTCCCAACTGGCAGCGAATCTTCAGATGTAAAAGCTATCAAGCTGGAGGTAACAAGAACAGAAGATGCCAGTGATAATGATGTCAATGATGAGACTCCTGGTATCTCTGATGATTGTTCCGATGACGTCACTAACGACACCATTTTGCCTCCGCCAAGTCGAGTCGCTCGGCGAGGTGCTTTTAATAAGTCACTCTCGGTGAGCGAAAAGCTCGCCGTTCTCGCAGAAGTTGAGAGTGGCCGGAAGCTGGCAGACGTCTGCCGGGAGTATGGCATCGCTTCTTCAACTGTATCGACCTTCAGGAATCACAAAGACGCCTACGTGATTGCTGCTCAGGAAGGTCGCTGCAAGGCCAAGCGACTGCGTCGGTCCAACAAAGACGACCTAAACCGCGCGTTGCTGCGCTGGTACCACCAAACCAGACCCTTAGGAAGCGCAGCAAGCGGTTCCGTTCTCCAGAGCAAGGCCGAAGAACTGGCCAAGCGCCTCGGGTACAAAGACAGTACCGTCTCATATGGCTGGATTTATCGTTTCAAGAAGAGGCATTCCATAAACATGCGTGATCAGCAGCCCAAGGAAGCCCAACAGGACCTCGCCGACGCAGACGCCTGGCTGACCACCTCGTGGCCTCAGATCCGCACCGGTTACTCAGCGTGGGACGTCTTCAGTGCCGTCGAGATCGGCGTCCTCTTCAGAGTCCTTCCCAGCGATGCTCATCAGTTTCGTGGCTCAGTCTGCGAGCGAGGCCAGCTTGCCAACGAGAGACTCACCGTATTCCTCTGCACGAACATGGCGGGTGACGAGAAGAGGCCGCTGCTCGCCGTGGGCTGTGCACCCTTGTCAAAGCCGACCGTCGCGTCCGGTGTACGGTATGGCTTCAATGAAAGGTCCTGGATGACTCGCGAGATCTTCGTCGAAGAACTGAAGCGTTGGGATTGTGAGCTGAACACGCGGAAGCGAAAGGTGCTTCTGCTCGTCGACCGCTGCCCCTGCCACCTGGTCGACCGGAAAGTCGGCCTGCGGAACATCGAGGTCATCTATCCGCCGCCAGACGCTGGAAGACGTCTGCTGCCTCTCGATCACGGCGTGGTCCAGGTGTTCAAGAGACGCTACCGGAAGATCCTCCTGATGCACACCATGCTCCAGGAGGTAGAGAGGCCGCCATTGCTGGAAGAAGCGCTCATTCTCTTGAATGCAGCTTGGAAAGAGGTGAACGATCCGACAATTCGGCTCGCCTTCGCAGCTTACAGTCTCCGCAGTGACAACCCTCTGGATGACGCACCCGCCAACGACTCCGACAATGTCCCGCTTGAAGAGTGGTCTTCCCGATTCAATCTAAGGGAGGATTTAGTGAGTGGAATTTGTGAGTACGACTGTATAGACGATTTCCTCGTGACGTCGGGAAAGGTGGAAATTGAAGGACTCTTCGCATCCCCTATGGATGTTGGCACTGTGAAGGTAGAAGCCTCCGAGAGTTTGGAAGAACCTTCGACATCTTTGGTTGGAGTTTTGAATGCTGTGGGCATGCTGATGGAGTTTTGTGAAAAGTCGGCGGCGGCAGAGGACAGCAGCGTGATGGAAGCTTTGGTAAGACTGCGAACAAAGGCGGAAGCGATCGCATTTCAGAGTACATATGGGCTAAAGAGTGAATGACCTGTGCAACCTAGTGAAAAAAAGCCACATGAACCCATGTCCCATACTGATGAAAGACCCGTATAAAAAAGAATCTAGAAATTAAGTAGTTTTATCAGTGGACTTCACACTTGTGGACAAATACAGTCTCTTATATCCATACACTTAATGATGAAATATTGTTGGCTGCTGAGCACCAGATGCATTTAATTAAACTGTCTGTAATTGGAAAATGATTAAATACACTTGAAAGAAAACAATGCCATTTTTGTGTCACCTGGCAGGCAAATTGTGATAGACGACCATGGCCAAGCATCAAGTTGACCAGTGCATTCTTCACCAAGAGAAATGTGTATGGGTCCTTTGATTGTCTTTCTATGGGGTGGTTGCATTGTTACCCAGTGTGTTTTGCTAACAAATAGTAACAAAATCTTGATACTGCCGCGCGCGCAGCTGGCCAAGTAGGCAGCGCGCGTGTGGCCTAATGGTTATCGCGCCTACCTCCCACGCGAAAAGCCAGGGTTCGATTCCTGGGAGCGCCGCATCTTTTGTTATTCCTGCAATTTAGTTTTCTGGTAGATTCGAGAATAATGTTCCGTATTCGAGGTCCGAATGTTCTAAGCGTCGAACATTCTGCGCCGATTATTCCAGAAGCTCACGCATGTACATAAGGGGCGCCGCGTGGCGAACCAGACTCAGTTTCGCTTCAGCGTTCGATCCTGCTGCTTTGCCGCCTTCGACGCCCGCGACGCCCTGTTATTATCTTTTGTACCCCTTTTATTTTTGGGCAAAAGTTCGCCCCGTTAAACGTTTCAGTTTTCCCTGTTATTCTTTCTTTCATTTGTTTATTCGTGACAATACTATGCCAGAAAAAAGCCTGCAGTGCATTTGACTCGGAGAACGTTGTCTGCTATCGTGGATTGGTGTCTGCACTCTTGCTCTTACTTGCCTCAGGCCGTTAGCAGGTCTGACTCCTTTTGTTAGCGTATCGGCACTGTAAATGGTGATTTCACGCTTTAAATTTTTTAATCTGGCAAACTCATTTCAATTTTTTTTACAATAAATGCGTCATCCTTGGCCACCTCTGTACAAAATCTTAGTTTGATTTGTTAAAGGGGCACCAAACCACTTTCTGCAATAGTCACTTTATGGTCATAACTCAATCTTTAGGCTCAAGCATCCTAAAAAATCAAACATTACATTAATGCATGGTCAATTTCTCCATTAAAATCGGTATCAAAAGATTGATGACCTCGGAACTATTGCAGACACCAGAGTGCGCCATCGCAGAAGGGCAGCGCCCTGCCCTTTCCTTCCCTAATGCCCCTGAATAAGAAAGGTAGCGCCATCTTCTCCCTCCTCCTCTGACGCGCACACCTTTTATCTTTGTTTTGCTTCTTTACACCCGCACATCGACTGTAGTGCCGCCTGGATGAGGCCAAGATAGCAGACGGCTCAGAGTGCAGTCAAAGGCTGAAACACACGCAAATACATACACAAAGGCTAAAAGCGCACTGTCACGGTCTACCAGCCTCGAAGGATGGTCTCAAAGAAAGACGATGAAAGCTGTGAAGTTGCACAGTCGGCGTTATTTGATTGGCGGCATGAGCTCATAGCATGCACTACACTTTGACAACATAGGCATTCCTTCTTCCTCCTCCTCTGATGCGCACACCTTTTATCTTCATGTTTTGCTTTTTTACACTCGTGCATCGTCTGTAGTGCCGCCTGGATCGGACCAAGATAGCAGGCGGCATTCTTCAAAGGATGCGCTACTTTTCCGTATAAAGGAGCTGTACCCTTCCCTCCCCAATGGCGCCGTCTGGTGTCAACCTTTTGATACCAATTTTAATTGAAAAATCAACCACACATAAATGTATAATGTTTGTTTTTAGGATGTTTAGAATCTATAGATTGAGTTATGAACATATATCACAGGAAGTGGTTTAGTGCCTCTTTAAGCAACTGATAAGTGTGGTTCCTTCAAAGGGTCAAAGACACCTGTGTTTCATGCTGCATACTGACAGTGCGTTAAAATGGGCATCATATTTTCCCTTGAACGGCCATCAAAGCACCGTCCGGTCTGTCCGACGTAGAACCTGTCGCACTACGAAGGAACAATACTTGACGCATTGTTGACAGTTAACGAAAGGCTGTCGGTGCTTTTTTGTGGAATGTTTCCTCTCTTCCCTGATCTTGTTGTTCACTTTCCTGCTCAGAGCAGACAAACTCAACTGTCGAGAATGCGTCATGTATTTTATTCCTGTCGTGCAACAGGCTTAACGTCGGACAGACCGAACGGTGCTTTGATGACCGACTAAGGCAACATCAATATACTGTAACAAAACAAATTTGCCGTCATCTGGGAGTTCACTGCCATGACTGTGGATGCACCCCCGACTACCAAAAAAGGCAAAATACTAAAAAGGCACGGTGACAAACTAGCTCGAGAGATAATAGAAGCTTAAGAGATAAACAAACTACGAGACAAATATGTCAGCATGTGCCTCCGTAGGACTGTCCGATAAAAAAAATTTGTTTTTTTTACTGGTGCATGGTGGGGACTGAATATGACGCAGCACTGCATAATCTAATAAAATGCAGATACTGTATGTATATTTATCTTCCTTCACACTGTTTATTTGACTGTTAATTGCCCTTGTGTGAAAATGGAACGCGGTAAAAATGAACTTTCAGTTGATAGTGCTGTCGTCTGTCTCATCTTTACTTTGTCCTTGTCTTATCACGCTGTTTTAAACCAAGATTTACATGCCAATGTTTATTTTGCAAGAAGAAAAAATTACAGGATAATTAAGACTGCTTATGTGTAGGAAGGTGAATGCATAATAGTCCCATGGGTGAAATGTTTTCAATAATGTCTCTACACGTATTAAACATTATGACGACGTATAGGACGATGTCCTAAAGATTGACGCCGAATGCAGTGTTTAGGACGCCACCGAGGACGACCTCAAGGACGTCAAAAACAGCGCCGAGGATAACATCCTAGAGGGCAACGTCCAAGATTGCTTCTAGGATGACATAAAGGATGATGTCGAGAACGACGTCTAGAGGGCAACGTCAAGAACTGTCTAGGATGACTTCTAGGACAATTTCAAGGACGTCGAGAACAGCGCCTAGAGGACGACCCCTAGGACTGCATCATCCTTGAGCATATGATTGAGCGGTACGTGCTTGATGATATATTTTTATGGCCATCTTTCGGGTTCAATGCCGCTGCCTTTTTGCGAAATGGGGCAAGTTAGGCTTGCGCCTTAAAAAAGTTTTCCAAAGTTCTGGGAAAAATGCAAAATTTTCATTCCCCTTGGCTGTCGTAAGAAATAAAACCAAGTGGGATGATTTGAAGCATTCAGGCAGTCATTGAGCACTTTTGAAGAGTAAATGCAACTATGTACACAAAAAAAGACAGGAGAAAGTTATTAGAAGCATGTTTTTCTGGCCCTTCACACATACGCAATTATGTAAAAAGAAAAAGATATGATGCATGGATGTTTGTGCCATGCCATGAGAAACTCTTAGAACCTTAGGCGCAATTGCAACATGGTGTTTTCAGAGCAAAACATGGTCCCAGCCACTTCAAAGGTCCATCAAACATTACTAGCAGAAGTGGCCTTGCATTTCAAAGAACTGTCTTTCTCAAATATCTAAAGGTGTTCAAGGGCCCTAAGCTTGAAGCAAGGACATTGCAGCAGGCAGCGATGTCCCAGTCCATTGGTCCCTCCATGTAGCTTAGAAGCCATCACGTGTCTGAATTGCTCATAGACCATACTCTGCTGAAATGATACATCAAACAAAAGTGTGTACGCTTAAAGAGGGATTCCACCAAAGTAGAAACCGCAGCATTAAACTGTGTAGTCCTTCAGTTCTAATATGCCACATGGCACTGCAAGAAAGCACATTAACATTTTCATTTGTGCCTTCTGGCTGTATCAAAGGTGTATGCCTACTTTCAGAACGCATGTCCACCGCTCATTTGCACCTTCGTAAAATGTTAGTCCGCGGCATCAAAGTGTTTACTCATGTGCACTCAAACAGGCACACCTTAAAGGTGGATCACTCTTCCTCACAGTGATGTTGGGTTTCCAAGCAGCTACCATAGGCAGAAAAGTTCCGATTGCAACACTGCCGTACATATATTGTCTGAAACACCTTGCATACTTTACCTGTAGTTTCAACAGTGAATTTTACACTGCATACAAAAATCTGTGAAGAATTATGTTAGCAGGATAATGTGCCACATTGTTATGCTCACACGTAACTGTCGATTGCAGATTTTTAATGGACCAAGAAAGGCTGACCTCTTGGTAACTTACTCTTTGCCAATCAGAAATTGGAAAACTCGCAAGGCTGGAGGTTCAATGATACAAAGCATTTTAACTTTGAAGAGAAAAAGCCAAACTGTATTGCCTCCATAAGTAATCCCGACTTTTCAACATAATGATTGATCAATCTGAACTCTTATTAAAGCGGGTGAAAAATTAGTGGCATGGTTTAAAAAATATAATAAATTATCCAAATCTAAAACTTGGTTTCCACAGCTATTTTAGAACTCTGCATGTTGCAACACTAGCAGGTGCATACAACCCAACGCCAACAAACATGTGGTGAACACTTGTATTTTGAGCCCGGGTCCAACAATTGCAGCATTGGGCAACAATGAGTAGACGCTAAAGGACTAGCGAAGATAGCTAAATAGTTGCTAAGACGATCGAAATCTTGAGGGAAAGATATACATAGATGACCAGCAATGTAAGGAAGGGTAAGCTGACTTAAAACAGCAACATTTCCAAAGGAAGCCCCCTACAGAAGGTATGGCCAACATGTTCCCCGAGGTTCTTTTTCCCTCTCAATACTACTACTACTACCCCAAAGAAAAGAAAATATCTCGGTACAATCTATCATTTCTTACGAAGGTAGAAGTTGCAATGCCTCGTCTCAGAAAGTTCTCTGCACACGTAGAGAAAGGCACAGATGTAGCGCGCGTCCTTGGAATGCGTTTCGCTCGAACGAGACGTTTCATACAGCTACGCTCTTACCCATGCAACTATGAAAGCACGCCGCACAACTCTTTAGTTGAGGTACCTGGGAATGCGACTCCGAACGGTTTGTCGATCAATCTTATTGAGAGTTCTCCATCTGGTGATGTCGCAATTGCCTAATCTGGGTCAACACAATCTGCCCAGTGGCGCGGCAGCAGGGGCGAACATGGCGAACGCCCGTTTTATCGAACTCGTAT